ATAGACAGACAGACAGACAGACAGATAGATAGATAGATAGATAGATAGATAGATAGATAGATAGATAGACAGACAGACAGACAGACAGACAGACAGACAGACAGACAGACAGACAGACAGACAGACAGACAGACAGATAGACAGATAGACAGATAGATAGATAGATAGATAGATAGATAGATAGAGAGAGAGATAGAGAGATAGAGAGAGAGATAGATAGATAGATAGATAGACAGACAGATAGATAGATAGATAGATAGATAGATAGATAGATAGATAGATAGATAGATAGAGAGATAGAGAGATAGATAGAGCGATAGATAGAGAGATAGATAGATAGAGAGATAGAGAGAGTGAGAGAGAGATAGTGCAGCATATTTATAAGCAATTCTATGCAAATGTCAACCTTTTTTGTGTAAGCAAGTTTTCTACAGGACTTTAGAAATACTGAAACTGCATCTGTCGGTGTTTTCTTACTGTTATATTTGATTTATCAAAGTCACACCAGTGGCAAATTCACATCCATCTCATCCATAACAACCTTTTTCCTCATAATTGTGAAAATATGAAATAAAATAGAGCCAGTCCTTCCTCTTCTACAGTGGGCAACTCTTATCATTTTGATCATCATTGTTTCTTTTGGTTTGTGCAGTTTAATTCACCGAATTTCTACAAAGTATGTTGTTTACTGTAAACCCGCTGACTTTTTTAGTCACGTCCATAACACACGCTTATTTTCCTCATTTAAAGTGTAAAACATGTTTACAGACTGATGTTTTCTGATCTCATAACTCTGTGTTCAGTTATTCTGGAAAATATGAAACATGCTTCAATATAATGTGAACATACACTTTCTATTTGATTTATGTTTTGAGTTTTTACTGCAAATGCCACATCCATAACGCTGGAACTGCTCATATATATACATATATATACACATATATTAATGTTTTGAGCTGGAAGGGTCATGTGACTGCAGTAATGTTGCTAAAAACTGAAATATTAAATATTTATATAGGTAAAATCTTTAAGAATTGTGCTGTTTTTGAAGTTCAATTAATAAGCGCTGGCTTGTTGAGCAGAAGAGACTTTCAAAAACCAAAAATCTGGCTTTTTATATTATATAGAAGTGAGTGAGTGAGCGTGCATTCCTGCGTGTGTGTTTGTGTGTGTGTGTGTGTGTGTGTGTGCGTTTGTGCGTGTGTGCATGCATGTGTGTGTGTGTGCGTGCATGTGTGCGTGCGTTCTTTTAAAATGTGTGTAAATGTATTTGTATTGTTTTTATGAATGATAAAATACCAAAATGTTAGTAATGGTGTCAAAATCCAGCTTAATTAGCATTTTTAGAGGGCACCTATTATGCAGAAATGTGTGTGAATATATCCAGCAGCCTCTGATGGTGAATTGTGTTTGTTGTAGTCAGACTTGATAAAACCGTCTGCAGAAATGCTGTGATTAACATCCTTCCTTTGTACGTGACATCAGAGGGGGAAGCCCCGCCCACTAGTGCCCATCTATCTCTCCATCTCATTAGCATAAGCAGCAGCCCTGAGTGAGAAGCAGCCGTCTTTGTGTTCTCAGTGTGCATCATGACATTAACTGTTGTGTGTGTGTGTGTGTGTGTGCGTGCGTGCGTGCTGCGTGCGTGTGTGTGTGTGTGCGTGTGTGTGCGTGTGTGTTCTGCAGGCTGCTAACCCCGGCTGTACGCTGCTGGACTTCGTGCGCTGGTACTCCCCCAGGGATTATGTGGAGGAGCAGGTGACGGATGCAGATGGACGGGTGGAGGTTCGAGGAGAGCTCAGCGCACGCATGAAGATCCCCGGGAACATGTGGGTGGAGGCCTGGGAGACGGCCCGCGCTACACCCGCACGCAGGCAGAAGAGGCTGTTCGACGACACCAAAGAGGCTGAGAAGGTGTGTGTGTGTGTGTGTGTGTGTGTGTGTGTGTGTGTGTGTGTGTACGTGTTTGTGTGTGTGTGTGGTGACATGTTTTCCATTGATAAACTCAAGAAAACCATTCCATTGGGAATAACTGGCTCGTGGAGTTCAGGAAACAAGCGCAAAATTGTCTCCTCAAGGCTTGCAGAGCGTCTAATAAACCCAAAGGGATAACGGTGTGTGCTTTTTGAGCTGTTCTGAGGATATTCCCTGTCAGCATGTGTGTTTCTGTCATGTTCAAGAGAGATCGGGTTTAAGCCTAAATCCATTTACGGATGTCCAGAAAGATGCTGACCGCAGGAGACTGACTGGACATTGATGAAATAGATCTGAAATCATGGAAAGCTGAACATTTCAAGTCAAGACACACACACAAAAAGAAGCCACAGATTTAAAGAGATCTTAAATTCTC